TGTTGTATCCCCCTGTTTAAAGGCATATGATTCCCTAAATGTAGCTAAAGCCCAGCAGCGAGGTTGGTGAACTTTACCCTCCTCTGCTATCACTGCAGACTGGCAGGATTGCCTACAGAGTGGCGCTAGTAGCCCGTTAATGAAGTAATGTTCTTTATTTGAGGGTCCCATTTCATAGAGGAAGATTTCGTCCACTACTCCCAAGGGACAAGGTGACACACAAAAACAAGGGGTAGGGGTAAAAATAAGAAATGGGATTGGGCCTTAGTCTTCATATGTTTTGAACTTTGGTAGTTTTTACATAATTCTTTCTTTTACTGAAAAGAAAGTTGAGAAAATTCCAGCATATGGCCCATTTAAGATAAGCTACATAAGATAAGAGATATAATGGGGAAATGTGCTTTATTCCTGAAAGGTTCCTGATGACTCACTGCCGGAAGCGCTGTAGTTATGCCTGTGTGCGAATAGTAACTGATTACCTAAGTAACTGTATATGAATGAGTCACTGGTGACAAAGCGCATCTTCCGTCCACCCCTCTTCCTCTTCCTCTTCCTCTCTTTCTCTCTCTGTTAATGTCCTGCTCGCTGTATTGGCTAATATTCCCTCTTCAGTCCTCTGGTGTCATTAGAGAGGTACAGTGGAATTCACCTCGACGGAATCCCCTCCAGAAGACTCACAAAAATAGAGACGTTTTAGCTCAGAGCAGGATGTGTCAGGGGGAGAGAGAGAGAGAGAGAGAGGGTGGAAGGAGAGAGCGAGTGAGGGGGAGGTGGAAGGAGAGAGAGAAGGGGAGGAAAAAGAGAGAGGAGATAGAGAGAGAGAGAGAGAGAGAGAGAGAGAGAGGGGAAGGAGAGACAGAGTGGGGGGGTGGAAGGAGAGAAAGAGGGAGGAAAAAGAGAGAGAGAGAGGAGAAGGAGAAACAAAAAGGGGGAAAGAGGGTGGAAGGAGAGAGAAGCAGAGAGAGTGAAAAGGTGAAAGGAGAGAGTGGAAGATAGATAAACGGAGAGAGCGTGAGAGAGCGGGAGATAAAAAGGAGAAAAAGAGGGACGAAGAGAAAGGGAGAGTGAGAGCAGGAGATAAAAAGGGAGAGAGTGAAAAGAGCGACAGAGTGAGAGAGGGGGGATAAAAAAGGAGAGAGAGGGAAAGAGGGTGAAAGGAGGGAGAGAGACTAAGGAAGTGGAGAGAAAAAGAGAGAGGGTGAAAGGAGAGAGAGAGAGAGAAGCAGTTATTCATCACGGAACACTGAACACACAATTTTTTCTGACACGCAGCAACTAGAGACTCGCTGGCTGAAAGGCGCGAGTCACGCTGCCAGGCGCGTTCACGATGCGCGTCACTGCGAACCCGTCACGCCAGAGATGGCAGCGATGCTGAGTGAGAGAGAGAGAGAGAGAAAGAGAGAGAGAAGCCTCAGAAAAGGAACTGGGGCCAAAACATAAGGCCCTACTGGGTCACTCTAGGGTGAACATGACACGGGCTGTGTCTCAAATCGCCCCTTATTCACTATTCTGCGTTGTGTATCAGCTTTTTATCCGCTCTTACCATCTTCCTCTCAATTGGCAGTTATGCTGAGTTCGACTGAAGCTCATAACTCATGATTTCCTACCTTGCTTGCTTGCTTCGAAAAATCAAAGAATCAACCGGGAATGGCTACTCGGAAAGTTGGGATGATGTTCTAAACCCTGAGGTCAGGGCATGATGTCAAATCGACAAAGCTGCTCAGACCATCAGTACCAATAAAGAACCACTGCTTGATGTTGAAATGATATTCGCGTGAGATTAGTCAACATCAGTTGGTTGAACTGTAACACTGACTATAAAGTTCAAGGTAAATACATCATGAATGTTAAAGTTATCACTCATCCCTGCTGAAAAAACAGCACAGACCTGCATGAATACCATGGTGGTCTAGTGCTGGTTTAGCATGGTTGACCATACCGGCATCCAAAACACAATGTGTTATTTTTGGTGGTGATGAGCATAACAACTTACATTGTTGCTGACCAGCATACCGGAGCCCTAAAGGTTGGAAATGACTGATTATGAGCTCTGACTTCCCACTTCCGAACCACGTTGAACACAGCATCACGCTGCTGTCAGAAGAAAACCTTGTATCTCCATTTTTACCGTTTTTCAGTTTTTGACATAATTTGAAAATGCCTGATGACCTTTACATTGTGTTTAAATTTCATGATGAATGGACCGAAAGAATCGGCCCAAAATGACTTGGAAAAATGTCTGGTTCCATTGACTTACATTAAAAGTAAAGTATGTCACCATTTTGGAGATACAAGGTTTCTTCTGACAACAGTGATTAGTTCAGTGCTACAACAGGACAAATTAGTGTTACGTCACAACAGCAAACACTTTAATGCTGTCAGCGCTACACTGGTACTCCTGCTAGAAAAACCAGCGTACACCAGCATGGTCACCAGCAAAACCAGCATTGGTTGTGTCTTAGATACTGGTATACTGGTCAACCAGCATGACCATACTGGTGACTAGCTAAACCAGCACTAGACCAGCATAGGCCAGCTTATTCCATGCTGGTCTTTGCTGTTTTTGTTTTAGCAGGAACAATAAATAAATAAAATAAATTTGATTATTAAAATTGTAGGAATCGTAAAGCCATTCAAATCATCAACACTTTTATGAAACCAAGGACGTCTGTGGGGAAACAAACCTTTGTTTGTTAGGCTAAATGCTAGCTGGTCACTAGCAGCAGCTCTGCACACGCTTTGGAGATAAGCATGACTGTAGAACCATTTTCAAAAAGGTTCTATATCGATCTGAAGAACCGTTTCACCATTCTTTATAGAGCTCATCGTTCTAAATAATACCATTCCCTTCTAAATAATACCATTCCCAATAATACCATAATGCCATTCCCAACCATGCAAATGGTTCTTTGAGAACTCATGGTTCTATATAGAATCATTGCCTTTACTAAAGAACCCTTGAAGAACCATCTTTTTAAAGAAAGTATGCATATAGTTTTTTTTTTTTTAAATGGTTCTATCTAGAACCATATACAACACATTCTACATCGATCTGCAGAAACATTTTACTATGCAAAGAACCTTTTAAGCATGCGAATGGTTCTTTGAGTGTTCATAATTCTATATAGAACCATTGTCTTTTCTAAAGAAACTCCTGAAGAACCATCTTTTTTAAGAAAGTATGTGTGGAATTCTATCCAGAACTATGTACAACACATTCTCCATAAATCTGAAGAACCATTTCACCATGCAAAGAACCTTTCAAGCATGACAAGGTTCTATATAGAACCAATGTCTTTATGAAAGACCCCTAAAGAACCATCTTGTTTAAGAGTGTAGGAGAATCCTCTTTTGTGCTATACAAAACCATTTTCAAAAAGGTTCTAGATAGAACCATATGCAACACATTCTCCATCAACCTGAAGAACCATTTCACTATGCAAAGAACCTTTCAAGCATGACAAGGTTCTATATAGAACCATTGTGTTTGTGAAAGAACCCATAAAGAACCATCTTGTTTAAGAGTGTAGGAGGATCCTTTTTGGTACTATACAGAACCATTTTCAAAAAGGTTCTAGATAGAACCATATACAACACATTCTCCATCAATCTAAAGAACCATTTCACCACGAAAGGAACCATTTCAACATGACATGCTTCTACAGAGCTCATGGTTGTAAATAGAAGCAGTGTCTTTACTAAAGAACCCTTGAAGACCGTCTTTTTTAAGAGTGTAGGTCTCCAACAGGACATTCTGAACGTACCACTGAATTCACCCAAGCGAAGTTGTGTTTGACCTTGCGGCGGAGACACTGGGTGTCCTGTGGAAGAAAAAACCTCCCCAGCCTGCTGTGCTGAAAGCAGCAGTGAGAATGTGAGGTATGTCCTCACCCCTCCTCTTCCTCTTTATCGCTCCAGCTCGTCTTCTCCCTCCTTGTGCACCAACACCAACGATCCTTTGTTTTCCACCCGTATTCAGGCAAGCCCCGCCTCCTGCGATGAAATTGACTAGTAGGATCCTACCTGCTGGTCCTGGATTGGCTAGCAGTTCAACAGACTACACACAGTAAAGATCAGTTTTCACTGGACCTTCAAAAAAATCTGTACATACAACAGTAAAAATAACCGGACTAAACTCTACTAGTTTATATAGTAAATATGTAGAGTACAGTCATATATATGGTCAGAGACCACCCTTGATTGATTTCATTTTCAGTCAAAACAGACAAGTTATGTATTTTTCACACACACACACACAACTAGGGGCAATTTAGCATCTCCAATTGGCCTGACTGCATGTCTTTGGACTGTTGGGGGAGGGGATCGGAACACCCGCATGAAACCCACACAGACACAGGGAGAACGGGCAAACTCCACACAGAAAGGACCCTGGTTATCCGGCCAGGGAATCAAACCCAGGCCTACTTGCTGTGAGGTGATGGCGCTACCCACTTTAAGACAGGTCTACCTGAAAAGGATGGAAACCATAATAAAGGCAAAGGGCTGAAATGTACATTTCAAAATGCTGTAAATACATTTGTAACAATCTTAAATATAAAGAGCTTTTTAAAAAAAATAACAGCTAATGTTAATGAAAAACAATTTCTAATAAAGTTGGTAATAATCACATCAGACCACTCTCATTAATCAAATGAATACATAAATGAAAAATGTAAACACACACACATATATATATATATATATATATGAAAAGATCTTTAGTTCTTTAAAACCATGAGTTATATATACAACCATTTCATGCTTAAATCGTTCTTTGACTGGTTGTAATATTTCTGGGAGTACATTTCACTTGGCAAAAGAAAATGCCTATTTTCTTAATGCTGATGCTGATTCTGGTGCTACTAGCCAATTGTAGCGCAGGGGGGCGTGGCTTGCCTGAATACGAGTGTGAAGAACAACAACGTCGAACATCCCTCCATCTACCTGGCTTCCCCGTAAGCTCCTCTCTCTCTCTCGCTCTCTCTTTCTCTCTCTCTCTCTCTCTCTCTCTCTCTCTTTCTCTCTCTCTCTCTCCACCGCTTCTCCCTTACCGAGCACACGGAGCATGTGAAGACGTCACAGCGAACAACGACGAAGGCGAGGGGGAAAGCAACAAGCTAACACTGCTGGGTGTGCATAATCGTTCGTGTCCGTCTCGATCCATCTCACCAACTGATGTCCTCCAAAAGCGGGCTGCTATGGCTCCGTGGACGCTGCTCTGCCTCCTCCTGCTCGCCATTGTGCAAAGTAAGTTGGCTGTGTGTTGATGGACGGTGCCGCCTGGCATTCTGTCAGTGAAAGAATCACAGCTGCTGAAGCGGGGTGGCAGCAAAAGCAGCTCCAGCCTATTAGCCGCACTGTCCCAGTGGAATATATGTGACCTGTTCATGCCTTTGATAGACTGTGTGGTGATGATGATGGTGATGATGATGATGATGGTGGTGATGATGGTTTAAACAGTGAGAGTGTGTGAAATGGAGACGCAGTGGTGGTTGTGAGGAAACCCTTGGGTAGAGGAGGGAAAGGTGTGTGTGTGTGTGTGTGTGTGTGTGGGTGGTGCAGTCACGCCTGGATGATAATGCAGGATCATTAAGGGGTTGAGCAGAATACCATGTATTATGTCACAGTGCTGATTTGGACTGGAAGTGTGAGGAGCTTATTTACCTCTCTGTAACCTCTCAGGGGTCTTCGGTGTGTGGGGTGGGGGGAGATATACATGAGCCATGAGCTGGCAAACAGTATGTGTTAATCAGGGGTATTAACAGAAAGTTATTGGCAGTATTGAACAAGGCAGAGAATAATTACCTGGTAAGGAAGATGAATTGAAGCGTGCACTCACACTAGAGACGGCTTTAAAGGGCCCATATCCTACATTTTTGTTCTTAAATGTTCACAACATTTGTGTGGGTTTGCATGTGACGTCTCCATTTCCGTGACCTCTCTTTATCCCTAGTTAAGCAGGCTGCGCCTTTAAGACTGATATATGTAAATGATCTTTGTTCTGATTGGCGGAACACTTATCCAATCTTCAGCGTGAATCGGCACGGCTAAACTGGTGTAGGCTGACTAGGCGCATTTATGTATGTGTTGATTTTGTGATGTCACAAAAACAGTATGTTTAAAATGTTTTTCATTTAAAAATAAGTTTCCACATGTGGAGTCTGTGGACTGGGGAGGAATTGTGTTTTGAACATTTAACAATGTTTACAGAGTATGCTAAAAAAGTGAGGGTTTTCTATGATCTAGGCCTTTTAATGAAGTATCACAATACAGATAATATCAGTCACTTCAATTTAGATTTTTGTATTTAATAATTTTATAATCGAGTAGATTTTGTCACTGCCACACTTTTTAAACTAAAAAAAAAGAAAATTCTAATACATTTTTTGCGCTGAAGTGGAGAAACCCATTCTTGCAGTTGTGTCTTGGATAATTACCTCTTATTACCTCTATTTTCATTAATTCTCTTTATATTTATTTATAATCACAGGTCATGTTGACATTTTACAGGTTCTTGTTTTACTAACCATGATGGTATTTAGTGTTCAGAGTCACCAGTCTGTATAGCTGTGACTCTAGTGAAACAGGGGGTCATTTGCTTTAGAATCCCCATCCAAAATTTCACCCATCATCAGAGGATCTTAAGTTCAAATACCACAACCAAATCACAAATTATCAATGATATATCAATGAGTCCTCAATATTGACCTCTATTTTTAGGCCCTAAAATTTAGCCTGAAACACAAAATTGCTTGTAGTGCAATGTAAGAACAACTAGCTAGCTATGTATTACACTAGAATTACAATTTTTAAAAAATATTCTGTTTTAAATACTCAAAATGTACACATATTTCTGTTTTTTTTGTGAAAGGGTTTATCTTAATAAGTTAAGTGTGTTTTTCCACATGTAAAGGTAGCAGATGGCCACATTAATTGAAGTAAAAAGAGCTAATTTTAAACCTTTTTTTGGATCTTTACCCAGTTTTTCCCCCCATTTAGGTATGCCCAGTTCCACATGCTAGCTAGATCTCCCACATCACATGATGGTACCAAGCTGAGGAGGGGGCATCCTAACCACCCAGAGTGTGTGAGGCCAATTATGCTTGGACATCCGGCCATGGATGTCCGTGGCATCGCTGGGGATTTAACTTGCAGTCTTTCGACAGTAAGGCCAACGCTTAGTAGTTCTGCATTTCACCAGCAGAATGCAAATCGACTTGGATATATTTAAAATATAGTAAAAATATTTTCTTCTTAACTGGGTTATCAAATTATCTAGGACGGTGTTTCTCAACCCTGCCCTGTGATGGACTGGTGACCTGTCTAGGGTGTTTCCTGCTTTGCGCCTATTGACTGCTGGGATAGGTTCCAGCTCTCCCCCGACCCAGAAGGATAAGCGGCTTAGAAAAGGTGTGTGTGTTTCTCAGCCCTGTTCTTGGAGCCCCACTGCCCAGCACATTTTAGTGCTTTTCCTGACACTTGAACTTGAACGGGATTAAGAAACACTGATCTAGAACACTGCTGTTTAAAGTGACACTGTTGACTCTGCGTTGAGCTGCTAGTGAGCAATGAGGGTTGAAAGGTGAGGGGTGAGAACCCCCCTGCCATGAAAACAGTTAACACCTCCCCACAAAGACAGCTGTGCTGAGATAAAACGGCAGCAGCATATCAAAAAATCATGTACAACTGCCACAATTAAACGCCATAAAAACACATTTATAACTGGCTTGCTCACCTACAAAAATGAAAATTTAGTTTGCTTCTGGCTTATTGATGAAAAAATGCCTAGTGCACAAATCAAGAGATCTCCAAAACTGGTGGAAATTGCATTTTGCTACAGTTAAAACAGGTTGAAGAAAGAAATGAGCATTTTTGTTTTTTGATATCATGATAGGAAATGTTCATACCATTTCATCCCTAGCAAGCAAACACACACACATACACATGTTGCGGAGCTGTGGAAATCGGCTTAGCCTCTCTCTTTGTGTGTCGGAGCCCAGAAGGCTAATTCAGCTAATTAAACTCTGACTAGGAGAGAAAGAGCCAGTGAATGGCGGAGGTGGGAAGAAGGGTTTGGGTGAGGTCAGGAACGAAGAGGGGCCTGGGGACCAGCAGCCCACATTCATCATGCCTTCATCCCTTTCTTCTTCATATGACTAACTAAGGGCGAATGCGTATCTAGCACAGGTACCAAACACACAAACCTGACGTTCATTAATAAACGCGTTTAGCATAGCTGTGATCTAATTATGTGCCATCAAGTCAGCAGCACTGATTTAATGCAGTCTACATGGATGTAGGCTTAGACTGAAGGTGAGTGGCTGAGATGCAGTGTAACCTGCAGATGGTTTGGTTGATTCTTGCATGAGTTCCACATATTGGTAACTAATGATATGCTGTAGGCGTAATGCTGCCTAAAGTACGCAGGCTTAAAGAATCACAATACGTTTTATCGGCTGGGCATTTATCTTGGCAGTAGGTCATAATGAACTAAACATATAGTAACAAGTAAAAAAATGAAATATAAGAGGGAATATAAGGGACGTAAATCTCTGACCTCACAGCAATTCACATCTAAGAAGGGGAAGATTAGTCTATTGTGAAATCTCACATTTCACCACAATTAAATTTTCTCCCCAGTTAGGCCATTGCCAATTCCACCCGCTGTCTAGGCCCCTCGATCAGTTGATGCTATAAAGCTGGGAGGGTTAAGGCAAGCATCCAAGACAGCCACACCATTTCAAACTGCTGCTAATGCAGCGTCACTTTACAGCTCAACACACTTGGAGGAGAATACTAACTGCCAATTTTGCCAATTTTTTTCACAGAATTTAGCTTTGTTTTCTTTACTACGGCCAACTTTATTACTTACCATGCCTTGATAGCTTGGTAAGTAGCAGGCTATGCTGGGAACTAAAATAGTTGAATAGCATAGAAGCCTGCATGAACTGAATTCAGAGCACTAGATGAAGGTAAACGCTAACCTCTGCCGCACTTTGGCTTGGTCCCCAGTTTAACATGTCTGCTGTAGTATAAGAGCATTTATTGGCATCAGAGTTAGATAGCTGGGGGGCTTGGTTTCCAAGTGGGAAGGCCTAGACCCCCTAGCCCTCTATGTCTACACCCCTGGTATATTGAACAGTGTTGTTTTGACCCTTCCCATACATACAGATTTAACAATATATCCAAAATCTTGCAACCAGAGCATTTTACAGGTCTAGTGAAAATTGAACTTGATGGTGAGTGACACATACTGTGCTTCAAAATAATTTGTAATACATCCTGTTACATTAACTTCCATTACAGATTCATAATGTTTTTTTCTTCTCCTAACGGTAAAGTTACCATTTTGGAGATACAAGGTTTTGTTCAGACAGCGACAGTGATTATATGCTTGTGCATTGCTCTGTATTCCAGCAGCAGCAGGTAGCAGTACTAATGAAGTTTGGTCATTTCAGTTCATTAGTAGCAAATTATATTATGCTGTATTTCCGATGCAAGAAATAAATCCCTTCTGGTCTTCTGAAGAGCACTATGGAGTATTTTCCAGTGCATTGACCGCCACCAATCTATCATTTTCTTTTCCTTTGACTTTCTGGCTTGATCCCAAATTAGAAAAAAAAAGATTTCAATTGAAAAAATATTTTTTCCTATTTTCTATTTTCTGAAACTGATCTACCACATTACTGCAACATCTCCATTCCACAGATCTTGTATTTAAAAGGTCAGACTTGGACATCACTCTTTTCATTTCACTGCTGGGCCTTTGAGAAGTGTTTTAAAGCAGGACGTGCTCAGCAGTAATCAGGTTTGCAGTGCATTATCCTAATATCAACATCTTCAAATGTACACCGTACATGTCTGGTGATGAATGATCCCCAAATACACAGAGAAGTAAATATTTCAACTCGCATTGCCAACTCATCTTTCATGCTTATTATGGAGATACAGTAGCGGATTGGCTCTGCAAACAAAAGATGGTCCAGTATTTCATTTGCCGTGTTTACACAGGTACATGTTATTAACCGTGGGTTTATGTACACAGCAGATAGCAGTTATCTATGAGGGAGGCAAGCATGTAATAATACCCACAATAGATCTGAAAACTAAGTCATTGCCTTAGGGTAACAAAATCATTTTTCCAGTGTACAATGAAAGTGAAAGTTTTAATAATGAAGGGAAGAGTTTGAATAAATCAATAAAACACTTGCACTTGATCACACGACTTGTGGGCATTTTTAAAACCT